GGGAGCTTCTCCCTCTGCTTGTGCTCTATCAAATAAATAAGTAAAATCTTTAAAAAAAAAAAATTTTTTTTAAAAAAGCTAGCTCTATAGAACATACATTGTAAAAGTATATCAGGGCGCCTGGGTGGCTCAGTCGTTAAGCGTCTGCCTTCGGCTCAGGTCATGATCGCAGGTTCCTGCAATCGAGTCCCACATCGGGCTCCCCGCTCCGCGGGAAGCCTGCTTCTCCCTCTCCCACTCCCCCTGCTTGTGTTCCTGCTCTCGCTATCTCTCTCTGTCAAATAAATAAAAAAAATCTTTAAAATAAAAAAAAAAAAAAGTATATCAGCACATTTACCTTATCTGGCAGAGTTGTTACACTCTGGATGACACATTTCTCTCTCTCCTCTCCTCTATCCATGGCTCACCCCAACCCCAGGATGCTGAGCCCCCCGTGTTGGCGCTCAGTCAGGCCAGGCCTTACTCCCAGCTTAGCACTGACTATTCCCTCTGGCTGGAATGCTTGTCCCCCACATGGCCCTGAGGTGCACTCTCTCCAAACAGGCGTTCAGGGAAGCCTTTCAAACCCACTACAAGTAACACTGCATCCTCCTGGCTCCCAAATATGCACACTGCTAGCCCCTCCATGCCTTTTCTCCTTAGGGCATATCACCATGTAACCTGTGTATTTTAATTAATTATAATTCTCGCCCATTCTCTCCACTGCTCTCTACTCTTCACGGTTCTCAGCACACAGTAGGTGCTCAATAAATACTCAATGATTAAAGCTGACTAATCCACAGATGTGTGAGAAAATACATTTATTTTCTTAATTTGAAATATCAGGCTTCTAGCCAAGGGCTTCTCTGGTTAAAAGGTCCCCCAACCCCTGCCCCAGTCGGCCAGTCTTAAAGGACTGGCCCTCTTGATATAAATCAGTGCAAAGGGAATACGACATTGTTTAAACAATGGCAGAGGCAAAGCAAGGTCGCAGGAAGGGGCAGATTTCCAACTGACAACGTGGAAGGTGGCTGGCATCCAGAGGTCTTTCAGCAGACTCCGATTTAAAGAACTGAGACAAGGGATGGGATCGTAAGGTGAATCCAGGCCTGCACCTCAGCCTATGGCTGCCCAGAGCCAACTGCACCACGTTCCGAGGGAAGCATCAGCTAACACAAACCTAATCACCAACGTGCTTTAATCAGAGTCAAGGTCAGGAGGGGTGCTGGCCCCTCCAGACCGTAATTAAAAAGCAAAGGGAAAAGAAACGCAGAAGCAAACGACCCTCCCCTAGAGGCTCTGACGTTACAGCCAGTCAATTCTCATTATTTGCAGATTCCATACTAAAATTTATGTGTAGCTCCAAAATCAATACTCCCGGGGCTTCTCCAGTCACTCACGGACTGGCATGGAGTGACCAAAATTTGAAGTGCCCGACCTGCGTGTTCCCAGTGAGGTGGGACAGAGAGATGCTCTGCCTTCTTGTTTCAGCTCTTCTGCTGTAAATTAGTATCCTTTCACGGTCTAGCTAGTGCCACACTTTTTGCACTTTTGTGCTTCGTGTTGGGGAGTCGGCTGTTTGATGCGGCGCCCAGGGCTGAAGTGCTGGTCAGCGCTGCTGAGCCCAAGAAAGCTGTGACGGGCCTCACCGAGCACGGGCCAGGTCAGCGAGGCAAGCTTTGCTCGGGCCTGAGCCACAAGGCTGTTGCCTGCAAGTCCAACACTAATGAATCAACCACATCTGTGAAATAAACTGGCTTCCAAACAGAAACACACACAGAACAAGGCACTAGATTGCTCAGCATCTGGAAACAGTGACCAGAGGCTCACAGGAACACGTAATATAAGGCCTAGCAATGGTTCAGTATTCCCTAATTCAATGTGCACAGCGACTTCACAGAAAAATGGTCACCACGAATAACGAGAGAACCGACCCTATGTTAAAATGGCTGTTTTCTGTCCCACATCTTTTGGCACACTCCCCTCCGCCACATCTGCTCCTCTCTGCACGGGGGCTCTCCCGCTCGCTCACTCAGCGGGCTTCTGCTCAGGCGTCTTCCAGTGACCCCTCCCGCAGAGCCCCTGTCACCTCACTCTCCGGCTGCCGTGATGACAGTCGGCAATTATCCTCTACCTCTCGGTTCCTCACCCTCAGCTAAAATTAGACTCCCTGAGGGCAAGGCCTTTGTCTTGTTCACCCGCGGATCTGTGGTGGCCGACACGGTGCCCACCCCAAGGTGGGTGCCCGGGGCTTGACGGAAGGAACACAGCCCACAGCGCACACACATCCTCCTCCCCTTGGGCCTGGGCAGCGCTGGCGCTGAGGGTGAAATCCCACTGCCCCTGAGTCTGACAGAAAATGTCTACCAGACCTGGGGCCACATGTGGCTATTCAGCACGCAAACGTGGCTGGTCCAAGTCGAGATGTGCTCTAAGCCTAAAACATGCACAAGAATTTGAAGGCTTAGGGGCGCCTGGGTGGCTCAGTCGTTAAGCGTCTGCCTTTGGCTCAGGTCATGATCCCAGGGTCCTGGGATCGAGCCCCGCATCTGGCTCCCTGCTCGGCGGGAAGCCTGCTTCTCCCTCTCCCACTCCCCCTGCTTGTGTTCCCTCTCTCGCTGTGTCTCTCTTTGTCAAATAAATAAAATCTTTAAAAAAAAAAAAATTTGAAGGCTTAGTAAAAAAAATATGCATAAAACATCTCATTAACTACTTGTATGTTCATTTCATGTTGAAATTATACGATGCTGGGCGTTCTGGGCCAAACAAAATAGATTAAAATTAATTTCAGCTGTTTCTTTTTAAAATGTGGCCATGAGGGAAGTTTTCATGACTTAGGTAGCCTGCTGTGAGTCCACCTTGGTTATAATACCAAGAAAAGGTCAGCCAGCAACACAAATCTACTCTGACTACCTCTCTTCACTGCTGCCTAGTGCTCTCCAGAGCAAGGCCAGAAACACCTGTCCTGCAGCTGTGAGACACAGACAGACACACAGACACACACACACACACACACACACACACACACACACACACACACACTTAAGTGTATTCAGAAAGAAGATTGTGAAATCAGAGCTGAAAGTTTATCAGGTGAACCAATTTTAGACTCAGAAGGTAAGCACCCTGTGGAGCCTTCTTGGCCCCAAAAAGCCAAGTATAGGCATACAAATATTTGTCAAATAAAGCAATCCTTTGCAAAGAGAAAAAAAAAAAAGCCTATTTCTGAATTGTCTACACAGAGTTTGAAATGGCAGAACATGGGAGCTAGAGCAGAAGGGATGCGGAAAATGACCTGGCTCTGCCACATTACTGAACCATGAGACCCTGTACTCCCAACATCCTCATCTGGAGAAGAGGCAGACCCTACTTTCCACGACTGTGCTCTCCAGAACTTTCTCCAATGATGGAACTGTTCTCTGCTCTGTCCAATATGGTGGCTACTAGGCTCTTGAAATATGGCTACTGAATTTCTCATCTTATTTCAATTAATTTAAAGGTAAAGAGCCACACATGGCCAATGGCTGTCATATTGGATAGCACAGTTCTATCCAATCTATCACAGGCTGCCCTGACAGGAGATAAAGCTTGTAAAAATCACTTTGTAAACTTTTTTTTTTTAAAGATTTTATTTGAGAGAGAGAGAGAATGAGAGATAGAAAGCACGAGAGGGAAGAGGGTCAGAGGGAGAAGCAGACTCCCAAGGAGCAGGAAGCCTGATGTGGGACTCGATCCCGGGCCTCCGGGATCATGACCTGAGCCGAAGGCAGTCGCTTAACCAACTGAGCCACCCAGGTGCCCCACTTTGTAAACTCTTAAGCCCTATAGAAATGGCAGGGGTTTTGTTGTTTAATATATTAGAAATGTGAGATTCTGAGAAATTTCAATTGCCCCAAGAGACTCGATTCATCAGAAGTCAAAATAATTTTAAATAAACATACAGGTTTTACTTTACCTGGGGGAGAAGGGTGGCCAGTGTTCGTGGATATAAACAATCAGAACAGAGGGGTGAGCGATAACCCTTCACACACAACTCAGAAAACATGCTTTTAATTTTTTTTTTTTTTTTTTTGCCACGCTGAGATCTGGTGCCTCCAGGTCCTAGCCATGCTGTCAGAAATCAAGGCTGCCAGTGTCCTCCCGGTAGATTATTCTTATCTCCCACACCCTCATTCTTAGGGACCAGATGTTTCCTGCCCTTTTCAGTGACCTTCCCTACTACTTCTCCTGCTACAGAAACACATCCTCCCAACAGCTACCTGCAGCCCTTCGGTTCTCGGACAGAGTCATTCACAGGCTCTCAGACCCATGCAGGGCTTGTTCAAATTTGCTGATGGAAGGTAAAACCAACCACCACTAAAAAGGGATGGGGACTAATTGGTAGCTGCGAAGAATGCTCATCTGTTTACATTCACGTTGGAAGATGCTCATGAAATTCAAATCAAGTTCTAGTCTCCCCCAAGACTCTTCCCAGCAGGAAAGCCCTTCCAGTCTAAACAGCTTTTTGCTACCATTAAGATCATTATATATGACACACAAACAGACAATAAGGAAATGAGCAGGGAAGCGGAAGGGGGGGTGAATTTTTAGGACAGAAAGTCAAAAACGGTAGAAGTCTAAGCAAATACACGTTTCCAAGTACAAATGTAAGGAGCCACCCTAAAATACTGGAGAGATTTTGTAAACTCATTCATTCTTCTCCATCATAGAGTGCAGCTAATTCTCCCCTCAATCCTTTCAAGCTTTTTCACAGCCGCATGAACTTTAGTGCTCGCTCCACACAGCCCTTGGTTTTGGCCCCACCAAGCACTCATGATGAAAAACATGTGAAATAGGATCCACATGTGTTCCACCCACACGCTGGGCTCAGCCCTGTATTTCATTCTGTCAGAGAGCGGCTGTTGCTCAACTCCATGGAGGGGACGCCAGCAATCATCCTCCAGCTATTAAAGCAACATCAAGCAGCCTGGTGTCAGCAGGACTGACACCACCTCACCGAACAGGGACCCAGCCTCCAGTACCTCAAGTTCAGTCTCCCGTCTGTTGATGTCATCCGTGGATTGATTTAACTTCTCCAGTTCTCCCTAGTGAAGAAGAGAGAGGGAAGAAACTTTTAAGGGATTCGTCTTTTGTTTCCAGTATGACAGAGCTCATTCTCGGCAAAAGTACTCCAGCACAATTTGCAGGCAGAGGGATGAGTCACTATTAATTCTCAAGGAAAACAGCTGAGCCCTGGCTTGAAGAGCAAATGAATGTCAGTTATTTTTTCTTGATGGTGTCCCTTTCAAAAATGCCTTAAGGTCCCAGGGATTTTTTTCTTGGAAGGTCAAATATTTATTGCAGGTATGTGCCTTCAGGTAAACCCACCTGTTACAAATGGTTTAGGAGTCACATTAAAGCAGTATCTTCTGCCTTAGAGCAAGAACTTTGCAGAAAAGACAATAAACAAGGCCAAGCCGAAACTATAAACCCAGCGAAATGATTTAAATCAAGGGCAGAATTCTGGCATTAACTCATTAGTGGTTGAGTTCTTTTTCTAGAAATGAAAATCTTTTCCTTTCAAACTGTCCATTATTAAACCTACCTAGCTATTTTAACAAAACAAAAACTAGCTCTAATCCTGATCTTTTAAATAAACATTTATAAGCTGACATTTTGTTTAAAAAGTACCCAGCGAGAAGTTAACTCATTTTACTCTGCAAACAAAGGATCTGGTAAACAGAATTCCCGCACCAGGAAAACAAGATTTAGTAGTCTAAAGTAGTGATTTTAATTAATAGAATTCCTAATGCAAAGATTTTTCCACCTGATCTTTATCTTGCTAATCTGCCAAAACAATTCATTTAAATGGCAACAGCTGAGTTAAACGGGCTTTTAATTGATCTGCGCACTGAAAAACCAATTAGGACTCCAGAAATTGCAGAGCACGATAAAAGCAACATATATACATATATATAAAATGATTAATGGAAAGGGTAGGAAAACGGGTCCTGGAAAGGGATTTGCTGTGCTTTTTGCCTAGAGGGTCACTCCTAGATCTTGGCTTAGAAATTGTTTTTTAATCATCTCCCTCAGAAATGGAGGCACAGAAAGCCAGGCCAATCTCCTCGCCTTCTCCCCGCGTGAGCTTTGCGCATCAGTTGTCCCTGGTTTCTGTTCACACCCCGACCTCATAACAAGGAAAAGCTGGGTTTTCGACCATTTGAAGCCAAGCGGAGGTTTGAGCCAGTGGTGACAATAAGCCCTTTGCCTAACAATGAATCCGAGAGGAGGAAGATGGCTCAGGCCGGGCACCTCCGCCAGGTGAGGGCTCGCCACCCGGGCACCGGTGCCAGCCCACGCTGCAGGGGCGGACAACGCCCACGGTGCCCAGCGCCCACGCGGCCCGGCCGACCCCCTCCGCTCCCAGCCCGGAGGCCGCGCGATGCCCGCCGCGCCGCGAGCCTGGCGGGGGGGACCCCGACACCCGCATGGCGCCCCCGCCCCCTTTTTCCCTTTGTTGCACATCCGCCCGAACCGCGGGGCACGCTGCGGCGACCCCCAGACCCTGCCGGGGGTCTGCGAGGGTTCCCCACGATAGAGTCAGGCCGCATCCACGCGGGCACCGCAGCCTCCGCGTAAACCCGGTGAAACTGGGAATCCGGATCCTCTCTTCTCGCCCCCGGACCTACGTGGCCACCACCGCCCGGGACCGCAGGCACTGGGAGCCGCGAGGCGGGTGTAGGTGTGGATGCCCGCCTCCGCGGCGCCCCCCGCGCGCCCTACCTGGATCCGGGGGTCCACCTCTTCTTCTTCCTCCAGCCCCTGTTCCATCCCCTCTTCCTCCTCCTCCTCTTCCAAGTCCCGGGCCGACGGCGGGAGCTCTGCGGGCTCCTCCGAGCGGCTCCGCTTCAGCGCCGCGTCCATACGGGCAGCCGGAACGCGAACCGCGCGGCGGACTTCGGAGCGTCGGGAGGGGTGGTAGCCGCCGCAAGCTCGGCCAGAGCCGTCTCGCCCCAGCCCGGCACAGTCCGGAGGCGCCGCTCGCCGATGCGGATCCCGCCGGCCCCGGCTGAGCGGAGGAAATGGGCGCGGCCGCCCCCTTTCTGCCGCGGCCGTCAGCGCAGCTGCGCCCGCTCCGCCCTCGCCCCGCCGGGCCGCCCTCGGCGCTGTGACTGTTCGCCGCCAGTCCCAGTCACCCTGGTCTCCGTCACAAAAAACCCAGCTCCCTGAACGACTTCAGGGTGGTGGACTAGGACAGTCGGCCCCCCTTGTCAACTTAGCCGCCCGATGGATCACAAACAACCCACCGTTGGCCGCCTGCTTTCGGGGTATCTTTCCCTCTCCCGCCTCAGCCAGAGCAAACTGACTATATGGAAGGAGAGTTTGGGGTATTTCCGCTGTCTGAAATCACCTTGGGAAGCTTGTACTCCGTGACCCTAGACCAGTTTCAAGATTCACTCAAATCCCTGTATACCTCCAAAGCCTTGGGTGAACCTTGGGAATTGGATCTACTTGAAGAGTTCCCCCAGAACGGGGAACTGAAACATATGCTCACAGGGACCCAGAAGTACAAAGAGGGCAGCTGGGTGCAGCTTCATGCCTGGAGTCCTTGGCCAGAGGCTGGGTGGCCCCCGTTGGGCAGAACTCCGGACCCAAACACCCAAGCTCTCATAGGTGTGCGAGGGTCCTACCTGAATAGCCAAGAAGCATGGAAAATCCACTGGTGTTGGGGGATGTGGGTGGGTAGGTACAGCCTTCTCCGGGTGGGGGCAGATGTAACCCCTGTTGGTGGGCACGCTCTGTCCAAGGATTTATGAACTGGCAAGGTTTCCTGCCCACCTTGCCTGACAAACTCAACATCCGGAGGCCAAAGAAGGAAGGGATAGGTCTGTGTTTTTAGGAAATGTCAGGGTCACTGTGATGCCAAGGGAGCACAAATTCAGATGAGCGTAGCCAAGCAGGCCAGGACATTACCACTGGCCACTGCTAATGTCCCCACTACAAAAATGCAGAATGTGTACGCTTTCTACGCAGAGGATTGTGGCCCATGAGCTCTGTGAGGTTGGAGGACAAACTTGCTTGAGAAAAAAGCTTTCTGAGAGCCTATTTTGAAAGGCACCTTTGGGAAACCTGCTTATGATGGCTTCATCAGAAGCTATGTTGTGTGTGTGTTGGGGGGTGCTCCTTGAGCAAGGTACTGCGGTCCACCGTGAAAGGAGATTCGTTCTGTCTCCTGGAGGTAACACAGGCGTACACAGTGGGTTGGTTCGGAAACAGTCACCCCTGATCACTGTTCTTACCATCAAGGGAGAGCCCGCAATTCTTTGAGAGAGGTCCTGAAACCCCTCGCTAAAAACCTAGTTGCTTTTGCTTTTCCACCAGTGTTTCCCCGGTGGCTTGGAACGGAGCCTGTAACTGAGCAGGTTTATCCTAGCTGTGAATAAACTGAGAGACAGAGGTTGAAAACAAGAAGAGTGAGGTCAGCCCTGACTCTTACGTGCTTCTCAGTCGGTGGAACCCCACCCTCACCATTCTAAACAACAACCTCCTAAATACACTTCCATTTCAGCTTAGATCTAAGAGCGATAGAGTGGTTCAGAATGCCACCATGGACATCGGGAAACTGCTCTAGAACATCAGTTCAGGCTTTTTCTGTTGTATTTTTAGGAGACCTGGGCCAGCTACAGACTTAATCCCAATAGTGTTCTGAAGGTAAAATATGGAACATAAATCATAGTACTATTCTATGTATTTTCTTTTTATTGGTACATAAATGCATAGGAAACGAAGCAGGGAATGAACTGAGGGTGACAAGGCGGAGGTGCATATGTGGTTACAGGGAAGGCCTCTTCGAGAAGTGCTCTTTGAACCAAGACCTGAGAGAAACGAGAAAGTGAACCCCATGTGCCTTCATGGGGAGAGTGCTCCAGCCACAGAAGCTGCATGTACAGAGGTCCCTGGGTGAAACCGTGCCTCAGGTGCTGGAGAGCCAGGGACACGAAACTGAGACCTGCAGGTGGGTAGACCAAGGAGGGCCATGACATGGTAAGCAGCTCGGATTTTAGTGAGTGAGTGATACGTAATCACTTCGGCGGTGTGGGAACTGGCCTGGGGTCACTGGGGACCTGGGAGTAGAAGGGGCACAAGGAGATGAGTTAGGCCAATGGTCTAGGGGTGGAAGAGGAGACACGCCTCTGCTGGTTGCTTCCCTTTCCCAGCTGAATGGCGGGCACGGTCGGCAGCTGAGAATTAGGGGCGCGGAGGAGGCTTATAGCAACACTGGACGCACTGGAGGAGAGACACGGAAAGAGCTGGGAAGTCAGTTGACCAGGGGAATATATTATAATTTCCAGGCTGCCCTGAAGACCCACCTGCAGTTTGGGATGCTCAGTGTGGCCGGTGAGCAGGGATGAGTGGTTTTTCCCACCCAAGCTCAGCTTCCGGACACAGGGGGAAAGTAGTGAGAATGTCAGCTTTAACCAGGGTTGGGATTCTTCCACCCAGGTCTTACAGTGGCGGGGGAGAAGCGTAAGGGGGTTGAGGGCAACTGCAGGTATAACACTTTTAATGATGGCCCATGCAATCAAAACTGGAGGGAGTGAGGAAGAGATCATTATATCAGGGAGTGACAGGGCGCCTGGGTGGCTCAGTTGGTTAAGCAACTGCCTTCGGCTCAGGTCATGATCCTGGAGTCCCGGGATCGAGTCCCACATCGGGCTCCCTGCTCGGCAGGGAGTCTGCTTCTCCCTCTGACCCTCTTCCCTCTCGTGCTCTCTATCTCTCATTCTCTCTCTCTCAAATAAATACATAAAATCTTAAAAAAAAAATAAATAAATAAAACATGGGAGGTGCCTGGGTGGCTCAGTTGGTTAAGCGACTGCCTTCGGCTCAGGTCATGATCCCGGAGTCCCCGGATCGAGTCCCACATCGGGCTCCCTGCTCAGCAGGGAGTCTGCTTCTCCCTCTGACCCTCTTCCCTCTCGTGCTCTCTATCTCTCATTCTCTCTCTCTCAAATAAATACATAAAATCTTAAAAAAAAAATATCAGGGAGTGATGATGAAGCCCTGAATCAAGGGAGAGAAAGAGGGTATGCACTGAAGACTGTGTGGAAGTTGGTGGCCAATACTATCTGGAGAGAGAAAACTTAAAGATGATTCCAGAGTTTCTAGTTTGAGTGATTGGATGACACCATTAAAACCTATAGAGGTTTTGGTTGGGAAGATAACAAATTTGTTTTTTAGATTTGAAGGGGAAAACCCTGAAAGTTCAACTGTGTTGTGTTTGGAAATTGGGATCCAGGTTATCCAAAGGTTGAACAGAACTCACTGGAAGCTCTTTCTTGTTGCCTCAATATACCTCCCTGATGTAGCAAGTGTGTTATAGCTCCTCTGATCTTTGAGGATAACAAAGGTTGTATTTCTCCTCCTCTGCCCCACACCTTAAGCCTAAGGGAATCAGGTACTTACACAAGAGATTTTTTTTTAATGTTTTTTTAAAGTGAAATTTGCAAGCTGAAGTGGCCAGGAACATTAATTCAATGTTTTTGAGTATTTACCTCATGCATACACTATTCCAGCTACCAATTTGAGGGTCCCAAACATATAGACAACAAAGTCATAGTGTCTTCTGATTTGGGGAGACACAGCAACCACAAAAATTGTGTCCCCAAATTGTGCAAACATATGAGTTCCTCATTGTGAAGTTAAGGCTCTTTCTGTCAAACTTCAGTGCCATCAAAAGAAGATTCCCTGCAACGCCAATTTTTTTAAAGATTATTTATTTGAGAGGGAGTGTGTGTGCGTGCGAGTGGGGGGAGGAGCAGATGGAGAGGGAGAGAGGGAATCTCTAGCAGACTCCCCACTGAGCGCAGAGCCCAATGCATGCATGGGGCACCACCTGAGCCAAAATCAAGAGTCAGACACTCAACCAACTGAGCCACCCAGGCACCCCCACCAATTGTTTAAGCCCTATAAAATAGAAACTGCCTGTTAACCCTTATAAAATAGAAGGCTGCTCTTCTGAACTAAGAAGACATGAATCTGCATTCCCATCACATTCTGGGAGCAGTGACTGAAGAAAGTGACAATCAGCATTTTCTCTCGGCCCACCTGTAATCTTTACATGCTGCCTTAGGCCAGAGATTGCAAACTGGGAGCTACCCTTTGGATCAGACCCTAGGGCATGTGTGGTCTGGCTGGCACAGTGCTTTATAAATTTGAGCCCGCAGTTAAAACTCCAGAAATGCGATGTGAAAATCCAGACTTCCCTGTGTGGCATGTCTCCAGAGGAGACATGAGGAGTGGGTGACCTTTTAAAAAGGTCGTGCACGCTCACATCAACCTGAGTCTTACGGGCAGACTCGCTTCCACCAGCAGCCTGCGCACAGGTGAACCCCCACCTCTCCTCAGCATCCCAGTGGGAAGTTGGTTCCCTTTGCCTTTCTCTCGCTCTCTCTTCTCTCCCACAGACCCCAAAGGATTATGGCACATGGCAAGATGGAAGAGAATTTTAAAAGAGACTTCCAGACCCCTCAACCCTAATTTTGGCCCCAGATGACTGGTTGTCAGAACTCAAGGAGCTATAGAAGCCAGTTCTTGGAAAGATATCAGGGCCTCCATATTAACAAGGCATCTGTTTCATTCCACGATTCGGTGACATAAGTGTGTTGCCAAATTGTCTTGCACTGTGGCCACTCCCCTCTAATGAGAACCTTTATTTGTGTCCTGAATTGAATTACACTCAAGCCTCTTGGCCCAGATGAATTATAGGCCAGAATACTTACAGAACCCAGGAAAGAGACTTTCAGTGTTTATCTGTGATCTTAGGGGACCTGCAGATTTTTCAAATGGTGCTAGAATCCTGGAGACAGAAAAAGTGTTCCATTAAAAAGAAAAAAGAAGATTTCGTACCTTGTGAACTGGTGGGCATAGCAGATTGCGGACATGATTCTAGAATGGATTTTAAAGGGGAAAGGGCATTTGTGATCTCCTGGAAGAAAAGTGATTGATCACTGTGACCTAGCTTGGGTTAGCCAAGAACAAATCATGTCAGCCATGCCCTCATTTACTTATT